ATCTGAAATGGATCAAAGTTCCACTGTCCAATAAAAAGTAACTTAACGGATTGTTCCGACCCTGTTTTTAACGGCGTTCGTGTATTTTGGGTATCCCGAGACCTAAGTATGGGGACGTTCTTATTTTCTAGAGTGCGGGGATATTTTGGTAGTAGCCTTTAAGCTGTAACGGGTTCTAGTCTCATGTCGCAAGCGAACCGAATTGGCTCCGACCGTTCTTGAGGTAGAAAAACACAAGAGATAGTGTCCCTGACTCTTGAGCCAATGGTTATAGGGCCTATTTTTCTTAAGCCTCATATGTGACCGAAGTAGGCGACTGTTACAACTGTGTAGCGACATGGTAAGTTTGGGTAAACTCGCTCGGAAAGGGTGAGTAACTCAATAACTTTCCTAGCCACAGAGTTTCTTAGTTTTAATATCGAATAGGACCGCATAAATAACTGATTATACTTGGTGAGTGACGTTAAGTTAATTTTAACGAGTGCGTGGCCGTGCCACGTCCCAACTTTTTAATCACAAAGAGCGAAAAGAAGTTTTATGGCAAGATGGTGTAAGTAGTCAGAAAAGAAATTTTATCTAGGACACTCCTCATGGTGCATTTTTGTGAAAATGTTAGAAGGCAGTGAGATGTAGTACAATGCCATTTGTGACACGTAGTGAGTTGAGACGGAGTAGATAAATTTCATATTCTTATGCGATTTGTAAGATCAATTATAGAAAACTGGAGTACCACTTGACGAAAACCCGGTGTTATGCGATCAATGATGGGGACTGTCCGGGGAGTATGTGCCATTCTGCCGGATTGGCACAGCGCAACCTTCCGACGATACAGGAAGCGAGGACTAAAGGCCTTAGCAACAAAAAATTGCTGCGAAAAAGGGCCTAGATATTCCGAAAATTTGAATTTTTAAAATTTCGAATGACGGGCCAATATTTCTGAGAAATACAAAAAGACGGCCATTTTGACTGGAAAGGACGAAAAAACACAACAACGACAGAGACAGCAGAAAACAGTCGCACGAAAGAACGAGAGAAACGAAGCCTCTTATCGTGGCAATAAGACACGATAAGAACCTTAGCAGTGGAAATTGGTGGAAAAGGAAGCTTCAGTGGGGAAGGAAAATTCCACGGAACCCTCCCGTGCCACAAATTGGGAGAGATAAGAACGTTATCTCGGGAAGATTACGGGAACGGAGGCTTGGTCCTCCAGAGACTGTTGTATGTGAAGGGACTATATAAAACTGACTTTGTAGCTACTTGGATGTCGTAGAACTCTGAATTAACACCGGTATAATTTGATATTTTAGAATATGAGTAGCTAGAAAGAGGAAAGGGTCAATCCATCTCCAATGGATGTAATATAGAACTGTCACACAAAAACATATTGAAATAGGGTATTCGAGCCGTGTTTTTAATAGCAATCAAGTAGTCTGAGGATCCGAGACTCAGCTATGTGGTTGTGTTCGCATGTAAGCGAAAGCTGATCAAAAGTCGTTTGACTGATGGCCTAAAAATAGTAACTTTTTACTTAGCCCTAAACAGACCAGAAAATCAACTGGCAAGGTCGAGACGGTGAAAAATGAGTAGGACTAAGGTAACTGACGCCTGCCAGTTGTTAATAGGTACTTTTTCTACGCTCCGTCGCTGTGTAGTATTTGGTCGAATGTTACATAGACGTTTTTATGGCGCTCCTGGTTGGGCCTGTCAAAGGCATAAGACCATCATGATCAGTAAGCGTTTCAGCGACGAACCCTCCGCTCCGATCGTACGCCCTAGTTAGAAGCCTTAATGACCGTTATTGTACTAGGAGTGACCTCGTGGTCTGGGGATACTGAGACCCAGCCATGAGCTCACTTTTTGCATTTAATTTAAGCGTTCTGGTCGAAGCCGAAAAACAGTAACGTTTTGTCAACCCGATATTAGGAAAACCACCAAAAGAACTGGCTTTGGCAGAGACGGTGAAAAGCATGCAGAGCTGTGTTTAGACGCTAGCCAGTCGTTTTAGAAGCTAGCTTTATTTTCCGTCGATATGTACTTCCCGGCGAATGTTACACTAAATGCAAACTTCACAAACCTTAATTTTGTTAAGTGTAATGTATAATTAGTAGCAAAAAGTTCGGACAGACAAAATTAATTAAAAAGAGCAATTGACCTATTTTGGAAATATTTTGCATGCAAAATCTAATTTTTCAGTCCGATTTTGTGTCTCAAGGTTGTATGAAAAACGAAATTGCATGCAAAAATCTGTCAAAATGGTACGACTGCTCTTTTTAATTATTTCTGTCTGTCCGAACTTTTTGCAACTCTCTATATTCATATGTTATTTGTATTTATGACTTAATTAACATTTCTTCTTCTTGCGACTCAGACATTGTATGCAAGAAAAATTATAAAAATTAGGCAAAAACATATAAATTATACCTAATATAGTATTAATCTCAAATATACTTAAGACTGAACTTCCGTTCAGTATCTCAGCCCACTACAAATGAAAAACGACACGTGTAAAAAATTGGTTTTTACATTATTTCGGTCGGGACTTTGAGCTACTTGCACAGTAATCGGCTATCGTTAATTAATTTCTTAAAATTTTGGACTGGAACTTTATGTGCGACTTGCACATCAGGCGGACAATCTGTTTTTTTTTTAAGATATTGGTCTCAAACGATTGATCGAAAGGCTCGTGTTTTATCAACAAATATGCCCGTGTTAACTTAATTCGAGTGTCGAAAATTTACACTTTTTGTTGAATATCTTGTTTTAGTTTAAAATGTTTTATGCACATTTCGTACTCAGCAAAAAAGGCCCCCTGGGAAAACTATGGTTAGCAGCTCACTGGGAGAAAAAGCTGTCGAAAGCGCACATTTATGACATCGACATAGAGAATAGCGTAGACGATATTTTGAATCCTCAATCGAAGATGGCCTTAAGAACATCGGGGCACTTGATGTTGGGCGTGGTGCGTATCCACAATAGGAAGGCGAAATACTTGCTGGCAGATTGCAATGAAGCCTTTGTCAAAATCAAAATGGCTTTTAGGCCAGGAGTTGACGAGACTGGTGTGGATCTTCCCGAGCAAGCTGCCTTCAATGCGATAACACTTCCGGATGTGTTTCAAGACTTTGATACTTCTCTCGCAGACTTTGGAGACTTCACAATTCCGACAAATTTTACAATGAACCAGAGTAGATTGGATGAAATCACTTTAAAGGAAGACGTTGGGACGATTCGTCTTCCCACTTTGGAAACCGATGGTTTTGGAGATGGAACTTTCGACGACAGAGAAATTTTGAGGAATGCATCTTCATTCCTCAATTTGCCTGGTCTCGAGGGAGGATTGCTACAAAAAGACAAATCAATCGATCCTCTACAGAGTTTGGATTTTGAGAAGGATGCCTTCTTGAATAGCGCTCTTGGGGATCCTCCAAGTGTAATGACTGATGCCTTCGATCCTCCGAGTGTTATGCCGCCAAGTGTGATGAGTTCGGTCATTGACTCAGTTGCTCCTGTTGATTCAGTTCAGCCTCCGCGTTTCTCTGAAAATACAATGCTGGGAATAAATCAGACAAACGACCAAACTACTTTGATAAACCCCAATGAAAACGCTTTTATTCTTGAACCCCTTGAAATTCAAAACAAGGATATCCGCCTGAAGAAGAAGCGCAAGCTTGTAATCGACGATAACATTAAAATTCAAGCAGCTGTAATGAAAGCCCAAATGGAAGACACAGGTGACGTTACCACACAACTGGATTTGGCACCGCCTTCAAAGAAACTGATGATCTGGAAAGAAACCGGTAATGTCGAGAAGCTGTTCGCATTGCCTGGCCGCCAAGCTACATGCACGACTGTGGCATATTTCTATGGAAAGCACTTGAAAGCTGAAGTTCCACTTGAGTACAAGCCAGATGAAACTCTTGAGCCTATGCAGATAGAAGACGAAACTATAGAACAAATGAGGGACAGCCGTGCAACTCGAGCTAAAGCACGAGAATCAAAGCGTCTCGAGGAGAAATCTTCTATTGTCGGTAATGCGATGGTGTCACCAGCAATTGCGTTCCAGGAACCACCAACCCCCGCTTTGGTCGACAACGTGAGCTTGAACATGGATCCTCCCACTCCTGTTATTGTTGATACCAACTTGCAGGACGCGACAAATCACGATTTCGCTGTTCCGAGTGTCCAAAATGACCATGACTTCCACGATGACGGAATCGGGGATTTTTTCGGAGATCTCTCACCTGGATCTCCCGGGTCTGTGGGAGAACCAGGATCTGTGCCCCCCGAGAACCCTGCTGACGATGCGATATTTCAACAGGAAATTGAATCTGATCACGAGGATGACGAAACGGCAGAAGAGCAAGAAGACAGAAGGTGGAACAAACGGACACAACAGATGGTCTCAATTCTGGGACGACATCTGCTTTCAAAAGATTACGTATCTTTCAAGGCCATTTCGAAAGCAAACAACAGAAAGACGGCAGCTGCCAAGTTCTACACGCTTTTAGTCCTCAAAAAGCATTCAGGAGTTGAAGTGGACCAGCTTCAACCATTCACGGATATAATAATCTCAAAGGGATCAGATTTCCAGAGTTTGGCAATCAAGTCTTAAAAAAGAAATTCAACGATTTTTATTTTGGAGAACTCAATGAATTAATTGTTCTGAATTGATATTTGTCTTTTATGCTTTTACTATTTTCTTTTTACTGTGCAGATTGTAATTTGCTTGTTTCTGAAATTAGCGGCCTTTCCTATCATTTGTATTACTTTGATATATTTCTTTCGATATCGTTTTCGCAAGCTTTGACCTGCTTCAAAATGTTGTTTTACGTCAGTGAGCTTGTGGAGTTTAATACCTTAACCATAATTGTCAAACAGTGTCATAGTTTCTTAGTAATTCTTTTTGGCTGTAAGTTTCTTGATTTTGCAGTGTCCACAATGTCTGATTTGATTTTAGAGTCTGGTGTAATGCGATTTAGAGTGTTTATATTTTTTATGTAATTTCCATGACGGTGAATTTACCTCGTCTGTTTGCTGGAGTTTTGAGAAATTGGTAATGTCGAGACAAAAACTTTTAAAAAAATGGAGTTGAAAAGTTGATTTTGTTGTAGAAATAAGCGGCGATTTGAGTAAATGGAAGATTGATAATGGGTGTAGTTGAGCCTAATAATCAAAGCAGATGCTGCAGTTTTTGAGCAGCTTATGCCCTGATCAAAGCAAATGATGAGCTGTTTTTTTTCTCGAAAAATCTGTTAATTACAATTATCTAACAACTGTTTGTTTTTAGAGAATGTCTGTTATAACAAATGAAATTTACAAAAAAACTATACCACTCTTCATCATACCCCAAGTAGCTGGACAAGAAACGAAGCGAAAACAAGTGGACTTTGCTCTAGAGGTGCATGCCGGCTCAACTGGACGAAAAGAACTGCTACTCAGATTAACAGACAATAACGATCCTTTCTTTTTACATCAATTGGTTCTGAACGAAGAGGATTTTTCTGTTCTGAAAAACCAACAGGGAATTTTAGTAGATTACTCAAGTTTTCCTCCGAAATTGACAGAACTTTTCGAATTATGTTTGAAAGAAAGTTTATCAGAGACGCCCAAGTTTTTGCTCAAATTTCAAGAAAGTTGTCTAGCCAATGGAGCTTCAACGTTGTCAATAGTCGAGACAACTCAGTTCAGACACTTGGTCCATTTGTCTCTAACTCTGTCTCTTGGCAATGACTGTGAGGTCAAAAAGTACCTTGCTAGTGTTCTATCGAAGCTACAAGTGGAGAAGAATGCAGTAGAATCGAACTTAAGATCACAAGTGCGTGATCTTGAATCTAACTTATCCGAATGTCGGAGGTTACTTGATGATAGGAACCACGAACTGAATGTTTTGAAATCTGACCTGGATTCGAGGGTTAGTCAAATGGAAGCGAAGTTTTCGCAGGAATTAGCAGTTATTCAAGAAAAACATTTGAAAGAGAAAACTAGTTTCCAAAGTGAGGTAGAAGCAAGAAGGATTGAACGAGAAAGCTTCTTTCAGACCTCCCTCGGACAGTATGAAGATCGCATAAAAGTCTTAGAAAGTGAACAGAAAGAGCTAGTTGATAAAAAGTACAAATCAGAATCAAGTATAAGAGATTTAAAATCGAAGCTGCAAGTTCTAGACGAGGAATTAAACAGAACGAGAGCTGAACTGAATTCGCTCAGAAGTGAAAATGCTTCAAGTTTGACTAATAGTCATGAAAAAGAGAAACTTATCAATGGTCTGAAAACAAAAGTTGCTGTTTTGGAGCAAGATGTAAAGAGTAAAAATCATATCATTGAACGGTCACAAGAGCAAGTTGAAATGGCGAATCAACAGCGGTTGAAACTTGACGATAACGTAGAGTTACTGAAGTCGAAAATTTCAGAAATGGAACAAAATTTGAAACATGCAACGGATGATAACAACAAGGCCAACAACATCATTCGCAAACTTCAGGAAGATTTGAGAATATCTTATGGAAAATTGAAGTTGAAAAATAGTGTAACAGTTCAACAAGAAAAAGTCATCAGTGAAAAGTCATCGACTTTAGAAAAGACTGTTTTGCATTTGAAATCGGTTGAAAGTGACTTAAAACTTAGAACCGAGGAAGTTGAGAAATTAGGAGATGAGCTGAAAAGCTCAAACGCCAAACTGGAAGAAAATCAGAAGCTCTTAGATTCTAATGAGAAAATCATTCAATACTTGAATAAACAAATAACAGATTCACAATTGACTCAGAGAAGCAATTCAAATTTCGGAAACTCCACAAATGTTACTGCTAAGTTCAGGCAAGGATCCACTAGCGGATCTGTACAAAATTCGGCTAGACCGGATTATAATTCGTTTAACAATACATCCCCCATGCAAAATACAGCCTCAAATATTTCGCCCCACTTAAATAACAACCACTGGGGACCGAGTGCTAACACTTACCATCCTCAGAACCCTAACTATGCTAATGAATCGAGTCACATGCAAGAAAATTTCGCCAAAACGGCTCATATGAGCAGCACGCCATTTTTCCACCAATCAGGAGATGCAGCCAAGTTATCACCGAGAGAAAGATTTCCGCCTGTGATGGAATCAAACCCTCTGGACTCGCTGCCATCCAAGTACTTGAAGTCGTCAAATATGGTCAACACCAAAGCAAGTCACAATTTGGATGATTTACCAGAGCGGCTCTCTAGTGGTAGATACTCGCAAGCTAGACGTCCATCGACTTCAAATGAAAAAGGTTATCCATTGCCTTCTGGATATGATTCTAGTAGTCATCAGAGACACTTAATGCAGACTCAACAAAAGATTGATAACATGAGTTTGGCGTCAACAGCAAATTCCACGTCTTCTAAAGCGATTGTGAACTCTCATAAAACGCCAATTATGTCGGCATATTTCATGCCCGCGCACGTTGCAGCTGCCAACAAAAATAAATCTGGATGAAATGACTATGGTTAAGTCGTGTTGTTGACCCTTAGGTGGTGTGACCAGAAGGGTCATTTTCTGTAAATTTATCATAGTTGTACTTCTTTGCAAAATTACTATTTCATCTTTTTATTGACTTCATCATCTTGCCTTTAAGCTGTGCTCTTTGCCTCCATTTTCGAAGATTTATATTTTTCTGACCCCTGATCAGATTTCTAGATATGGCGTGAATATTTGTATAGAAGAAATTTGTAATTTCCTTTAATTAGTTTGTATGTCGTGTACAATCACATATAATTATAGTTTTTCGTCCTAACAATTTAGTTGAACTTTGGCTCATTCTTTTTTGTGTGACTGCAATGGGTTGATCGTCAAAACCTGACAATTTTCTGGCTTCATTTTCTATGCATTAGTACTTGTAGAATAATTGCTTTTTTATTTTTTGATAAAAACAGGTATTATGAAAATCAATCTGATTTTGTTGCAATTATTGTTCTTTTGAGACGCTTTGAATTTTTTCTTCAATTTATTGCAAACGTCTTTGTTGTTCACGCACTTCAACAATGGAAAGACCGGGTACCAATGAAAATACCAGCGACTACCTTGGGTGCTTCCATACTCCCCGGGTCTCTTTTTTTAGTTCACTTCCCTTTCTACGTTTGAATTTAATCTAATTTCTAATCTGAATATAAAGTAACAATCGAACGAAAATAAAGCGGGAATTTCTCATGCATAAGTCGCTACGCCCTAGTGTTTGACTTTTCTCGAAAACTACTATCCCTAAGTGGAATTACGGTTTAATTGAGAGAACTGGCTGCAATCTTCCTTGCATAACCGGCTATTTATTTTATAATAAACTGCATAACCCGTTATTTTAGAAGTTTCGACCGTTTTTGCGAAACTTTTTTTCAAAAACTACCCTCCCAAATCTGGACAATCAAGAGAACAGGTTATGGGAGTCCTATAGGCTTGATCGGCTACCCGATTTCTGTGAGCACAAAATTTCAGCCTTCGACAGATTCGAGCTTTCGAGACTTTGACCGCTTTTGAAAACTTCCCGAAAATTACCCTGCCAATTTTTAGGTAAGGGTTCAATAGAGACACTCAGTTGTGAGGAAACTTTACTGTATAAGCGGCTATGCCCTAGTTATAGTAGAAAAAAATTCGGAAAAATCAAAATGCGATATTTTGAGTTATTTTTGGAAACTTCTTTCTTAAAACCTACGCAGCCACTGCTGAGATTAATGGATCAATCGAAGATAAAAAGGTTTTGAGATTCTTCACTGCATATGACGGTTCTCTTAAGTTTTGGTAGAACAAAATTAAATGCTTGGAAAAGTCAAGTTTGTTCATCTTAACGTTTTTTGGAAACATTTTGTCTTTTCTCGAAAACAACCCTGCCAAATCTGAAATTTAGAGCTCAATCGAAAAAACAGGTTATGGCAATGATCCCTGCATAACTGGCCCCGCTGAAAGCTGACCCTTTTTGAGTTTAAATTGAAAGAACATGGTGCAATTATTTTTCCTGCCTAATTGGTTGCATCCAGGTAGGCGCATTGAACATTTTTTTAAATTATTTCGCAAACATTTTATTTACCAAAAAAGTACTTCAACAGTGTAAAGACCGGATACCAGTGAAATGACTAGCGACTACCCTGTGTGCTTTGTTCAATTCAAAGAACGAGTTGTAGGAAGCGGGTAATCCTTTTTTTATAAGAGACACCAAAGGTTTTGGGCAAAACCAATTTGGGGAATTTTGAAAATTATACGTTTTATCCCACATCATTACAAATTCTTAAAACTATCAAACAGGTGCTTATAGCTTTAGCTGGCCCCTTTGTGATTCAAAAAAAAATTGGCCCGTCTGTATCTGTGGAACAATCACTTTATGATCCGACTACGATCATCTTGCAGAATTTTTTTTGCAGTGCTTCGTGGTGTTTTTTCGTGAAGCAATACTTTTTCAGAACAATACAACACGAACAATTCTTTTTTCTCAACACTGGGACAGTTTTTGAGTACAACCATGTTTAGTGGGTCGCAAATCTAAGATCTCACTCGTTGATTCAGATCATTTTTAAGAGTTGATGAACATAGTTCAGACTCTTGCACAGGTGCTGATGATTTTTTTGTTTTTTTTTCTGGTCCAGCCTCAAATGTTTTTTTTCGTTGTTTGACTAATGATTTCTTCTTAAGCTCAGTTTATTTCCTTTGTTAACAGGAAGGCACATTTCACTATCGAACAGCAAAAGTGTAAAGGTCACGGAAAACGTGATCGAGTTCTTTCTTGTTCTGAAAGTGGAATTTATTTTTCAGATTTCCTATTGATCTCAGTTTTCTCAAAGGGTCAATTTAATCAAAAAAAAGTGTCAATCGTAAATTGTTCTAGAAATTCAAAGCGCTTTAAGGGCATTTATCTTTTCTTAAAAATTCAAAAAGTAAGTCATTATTATTTTTTTATGTTTTGCGGTTTTTTGACTCTTTTCCAACTGTCTGTGGGCTATGATTTTCTGATTGGAGAACTATTCTTAGCCCAACCACGGTTTAACTTTTTCCTTGTCTTCGCGACGTTTTTTCGTGAACATTTGATGGTCGGAACATTTAGTACCATTGTCTGCAATCCATTCTGAAATGAAGTTTCAAAATTTTGATGCAAAGATTTGGCGCCCCGCGTATTGTTCGATTTCGGTTAATCTTAGTAGCCAAATTTTGTTGAACAGAAATTCAATGAACAAAATTTATTGATCAAACTCTGCTTTTCTCCCGCTGGTTTGTGGTGATAGAAAAATATCGATTTTCAGATCGCATGATTGTAGTAAGGTAGTTATCAACAGCTGATACAATGTTTTTCGGCCAACTTGTGATTGGACCTCCCGGAGCCGGAAAATCAACTTATTGTGCAACTGTGTCGGAAGTACTTAAGAAATTGAAGCGAAATGTAGTTTTAATCAATCTCGATTTTGCCAATGACCAGCCTCCCTACGAAGCAAACATTGACGCCACGAACCTCATAACAGTCGAGGACTCCATGCAACATTTAAGTTTGGGCCCCAATGGATCCCTTATGTACTGCATGCATTTTCTACAGAAAAATATTGAGTGGCTCTTTACCGAAATCGAAAAATTGTTGGACGATTCTTACATTATTTTTGACCTTCCTGGTCAAATCGAATTATACACTCATGACGATTCTGTTCAAATTATAGTAGAAAAATTGGTACAGAAATTTGACCTCCGATTAGTTTGTGTGAATTTAATTGACAGTCACTATTGTAGTGACCCAGCAAAATTCATATCAGCTTGTACAACCTGTTTGAGCTCAATGATGCGGTTAGCATTGCCGCATATTAATGTTTTGTCGAAGATGGACCTCATCGAAACGAATGGCAAACCAGATATAGGTTTGAACTATTTCCTAGAAACATTAAACATGAGTTACATATGCGATCAGCTATCGGATGATCAATTTTTTGCCAAGTATAAAAAGCTGAATTCTGCGTTATGTTCGCTAATTGAGGATTACAGTTTAGTTAACTTTGTGCCACTTTGCGTTAGTGATAAAAATTTGATGGTCAAGTTGGTGAAACAAATTGATAAAGCGAACGGATATCTTTTTGGACAGAGTGAAGGAGAAAGTGAGGAAACAAAGAAGTTGAAAATGTTTTCGAGTGTGTTCCGCGAGTCCGATTTTGCCTTTGAGTCTGGTCCAGCACTGGAAGAAATTTACATGGGAAATCAATCGGACTCTACTGCGATGGAACAAAATTATTCATGATAGTTAAACCAATGTTTTAGATTTAAAAAGAATATTTTTAAAATGCTTTTGTTACATCTTCGAAGAAAAATGAAGTTAACAGATAAACGGTGTTTCAGACGATTAGATTAATTTTAAGCCGTATCAGAGATGTGAGATGATGATTATTGATATTTTTTCAGATAAGTTGTGGTTTGTAGCGTGAGACGTAAAGTTAAGAGAAAGAGAAGAGAAGTGAAGTTTGCAATTGACACCGTGCAACTTACAAATACTAACAACAGTGAAGATACTCTAAACAGTTCAAAAACCGCCATTCTTCAATCAGTTCAATCGAAGCTAAATTGATAATTTAAATATGGGTGACCGAGCTTGTTATAATTGTGGCGAGTCGGGACACTTTGCAAGGGAGTGCAGTACTGGAGGAGGCAGAAGCAGTGGCAGCGGTGCCAGAGGAGGAGGGCGAGGTGGCGGAGCGAGTTTCACCCGTGGGGGCCGAGGAGGAGGAGGCGGCGGCAGCGGCGGCGGTGGGTTCTCGAATCGAAACTGCTTCCGATGTGGCCGAGGCGGCCATATTGCAGCTGCATGTCAGAGCCAAGGTGATTTTATATCAGCGGCAACTAGTGAGCCAAGTAATGCGTTCAAAGATTTAATTCATTTAGGGCTTACTCACTGCTGCTTAACCGGGTGGTTAATATCAGGGTGTCTGAGTTATTATCTCCAAATCAATTATCAGACAGGGGTTTACTTAATTATCGTGAGAGAAGGGATGGGAAAAGTGAGTTTTGAAAATTTCTCAAGGGAATTTAGCAGTAAAACTTTTTTTATCTCAGTTATCTAAGATGAAAATGAACTATTTCACTCTTTTTGTTGTAATTTGCAAGAAGATTGTTTTCATAAATTCTGTGTAGTCTGTTTTACTTTTTTCCGAATCGGGGCGTCTGATAATCATGCACCTGAGGTTTGCAGTATTCTTGGTTTGTTTAATAATTTTTGATTGTTTTCTACAGAGGGCGAGAAATGCTATAACTGTGGAAAGTTTGCCAACCACATCGCTCGCGAGTGTCCGGAACCCAAAAAAACTGGCTGCTACGTCTGCGGAAATCAAGACCACCTGGCTCGTAACTGTCCGGACAAGGAGAATGGAGAAGACGAGGAGTACAGCGCCGGAGGCCGAGGAGGATTCCGAAGTGGCGGAGGTGCCACGCGATGTTACCGATGCAACGGGGAGGGACACTTTGCGAGGGAGTGTGATGCTGCCGGAGATTCGGGCGGTGGATACTACTCGGATAACAAGACGTGCTATGAGTGCGGATCGCCAGACCATTTGGCGAGAGATTGCACCTTGACCCGCAGCCGAGGAGCGGTACCTCAGTGCAGAAAGTAAGTTCCAATTGTTCAATTAATCTTCAAACACCAAATGTTATCCAAAAGGGCCTTTAACTTTACGAATTATTCAATTATTTTTTAATCAAATCGTTCAAGAGCACACCATGCAAATCTTAAATTGGAATTTTCAATGATGATGAACATGTTTTACTGCTGTTGTGCTGTTGCATTTTGATTACGAGGGAAAAGTATTGAATCAAATCGTTCAAGAGCACACCATGCAAATCTTAAATTGGAATTTTCAATGATGATGAACATGTTTCACTGCTGTTGTGCTGTTGCATTTTGATTACGAGGGAAAAGTGAAGTTGTGGTTAGGTTATCTGCTTAGCAATGAATGTGTAGTTAATTTTATATCTCGAAAGTGACGTTTTAAGACATTGAGCTTTTCTACTTTTTGCTTTAGAGCAATTACAACATGACCAAACTGCGTAATTATAGCTGATTACAGGTTTTTATGTTCCAGCCCAGCGGGTCGGATCTTCGCTCAGTTGAATTTTTCGATAATCGGTAACAACAGGAAATTTTAATATCACTCGAAATTTGTCTCATAATTAAGAGTCATGAACGTAGTGAATACTCCTGCATAGGTCTTTATGATTTTTTGTTTGTCTTTTTTGTTCACCTTCAAATTTGATATTTCGTGGTTTGACTTTTGATGAGCAAGGGTATAATAACCTTTGCGATGAGCAAGGGTATTGCAGCCTTTGCGATGAGCAAGGGTATTGCAACCGGGTACTGGACTTTTTTCTGGTAAAAGTTTGTTCACAAGATGGCTGAAATTGGTGAGACGATCTTTTCTTCGACGAACAGACAATTTTTGAGCATAACTGCATTTCCAATGCCCGTTCTATTCCAATGCCCGTTAAAATTTGTTTTATATGTTGATTGTAAATTTACAAAATCCGATATCAGTCATTTTTTTCTTATTTACTCTTTGTTCTCTTTCTTCGGCTTCAACGTTTCGGCTTAGAGGCCTCTTTTTGAGTAGTTTAAGGAGCAATAAAAACTAATAAAACCAATTTGTTGTCGGCGCTACGTGTGTCTGCTCAAGACTTGTCGGCTATTTTATCGCTTTTTAAGTTTTATTTCGATGCTGATTTAGCATTCATTTCTTTTACTGCTTTTCTTTAAAGGTATTCAAGACAAATGTTGGAAATTTTTTGGTAGATCAATTTTAGTCTTTCTCAAAAAAATGTTGGGTTTTTTTTTGCGGCTTTCATTCCCGTCGATTTATTGGTCATGCTATGTATGTGTTATATCACAAGTAGTGCGAAGCTTCGCCTAGCCTCGGTTTGTGAAACTTCTAAAGATCCGGGTCATTCATTTCCAATATTTCGTTTTTTGAGTTTTTATATTTTTTGAACACATTTTTTTTAAAGTTTTGTGTATTTCGATTTGTCGGTTTATCTGCAACTAGTGATAGTCATTCAGTTTTGTATCGTAACTGGCGCGAAGCTCTGCTTCGCCTCTTAACTTTCTATTCATTTTTTTTTTCGTTGAAGGGAAGGCAAACTGTCGAACAGAAAAAGTGTAAAGTTCACTAAAAACGTGACCGACACCTAGTTCCGGAAGTGGATTTTAATTTTCAGATTTCCCAGCGGAATAAAAAATTCGAAGAGCTCTAAGGTCATTTTTTTCTTTGAAAAGCAACAGTTGAAGTTTTTTCAAACAACCAGTATTTCTTTTTCTGTTTTCTTGCGTTTATTGACTCCTTTCCATTTGTCTGTTGGCTATGTTTTCCTAATAGTTGTCATGATTTTCTATCAATCGTGTCTTAAATTGGCTTTGTTTTCAAGAGCATCTTCCCATACGTGTAAGCAGTGGAAATCAGTTGTTTTCGTTTAGATGCCAGGAACCAGGACACCTTGCAAGAGACTGCCCCATGTCAGCCTCTGACATAGCAGCGAATATCGTCTGCTACACTTGCAGCGTGAAGGGTCACTTCGCACGCGACTGCACCAACGCCGCACGCGAGGACTGAATTAAGGTGATCTAGCTCAGGTCAGATGCGGTCACCTTTAGTTCACACTGCTGCGGAGTGAGCCAAATTGATAAGATCACCTTCAGAAATTCCGTTGTCATCATAACTGCTGTATTCCAACAACCATCCAAGGCTAAATAATATTTCCAATCACTGTTTTAGAAAATAACTTAAAGAAGCCCTCTTTGTTTTTTTCCGTTAAACATTGATATCTAAGTTCATGATTGGTTATCATTTGAATATCATCAGATCTTCATCTATTCATATAACGGAAATAGCAAATTTAAAAGAGCAGAAACATTGCTTTGATTTTATTTCTATCATTCATTTGCAGATGCAATATTATCTAGCTACACCTGTTGATAATTTTGTTTTAAATTTGGATCCTATTTGTTTGTTCAATGAAACCCCTAGAAACAAACTGCATAATCGAAAGTCAGTGATTTTTGACGTTTCTGGTTAGTTGGTATGATATGAGGAAAAATATTGTAATGCAATTTGTTTCTAGGAAATCTTATTTTCTCCACTGGTTAGTCTAATAGACTGTCTAGTTTAGTGTTGTCTTAACTTTAGCCAATAACTCAAAAACGGCATACATGCTGTATTGTATGGTTACTTTGATGGTCACTTACTTGGAGACTATTAGAGAATCGTTATTTTGAACCGAATAGGTTTTATGTTGCTTTTCTTGAAATGCACTTGAAGTTTATATAATGTTATTTTACGCTCCCATGTAAAAAGTGAAACGACTTCGATTGCCGAGATAGTTTTGTGCGGCCGACTTGATTTGTAACCAAGCGCCTCATCTGCCGAAATCTGTTTCTGTCAACAATCTATTTGAGTATTATAGTAGCAAGCTGATCTCATGATTACTGTATAATGATGACAATGGCGACGAATTGAACTGTATAATAAAGAGAAAATTAAATCTTCCTTCTCTTTGTTTTACGAATGATTAGCTCACACATTAATAAAACTTAATGACTCCAAGGATTTAATAAAAACGAAATTGGCGCATAATTTTTTTTTGAAAATTGAGCAGCCAAATATGCAATCAGAAAACGTTACCTGGAAAATAATAAGTTTTCTCATATCAGGATGAAGGCCTGAATGTTCTGACTATCCTCAGGCATTTCTGAAGTGATTTTTTTATTGAAAAGGTGTGACCAAGTTTTCTAAAACATAGAAAAAAAACTTCAAAAAATGTTTTTTTTAAAGATCTTCCCTCATACCCAATGTGAAATATAAGGTGATATATTTCGCATCGACTAACTCATTTTTTTGATAAATTGACGTGTCTCAATTCACCTTTGGAATGATCTCTTATGAGTATTCCGCTGCCTTCTTCGAAAGTCGGAACCAAAACAAGATAAAAATTTTTTGCGGTTTAAAATTATTTACTAGATTTTCTAAAAGAAATTAGCCCAACAATAAGCAGGTAAAACCTTGGAAAATATAGGCGCCAATATTCAATAAGCGTTTGACTTCTTCAGTAAATAATCGCTGTATAATGATTTGTCGATCAGTTTGTATACTTTTATTGAGCTTGGGAATGCTCATAAGTTTTTTTAATATTTTCACGCTTGTCTGTTTTTACGGCAAACCATTCTTACAGAATCATTGAATCTTTTATAAACTCATCCTAAAACTTTATTAAACTAACTTGTCCCAAAGTGAAGTCGATCCTTGGGTGTTTAAGGGTCCGTAGTTCGATGACGCCGAAGATTTATCGTGTGTCTGATTAGTTTTTGCCGGCTTTGTTACCATATCTTGAACCTTTCTTAAAAAGCACGCGTTCCCTTCTATCTTAGGAGCTCATTAGTATATTTTCTTTTTGCGCAGAATTCAAAAGTTAGTTTCAAAAGTTCTCTGGATTTTTTGTTGATATCAATTGCTCGTCTCGACTTGAACTTTTCAAATGATTTTCCTAAAAACTAGATGGAATAGATCGTTTCTCTTGAAATCTGGATTTTTTTTCGATTTGTTTCCTCAAAGTTTTGGCGTGCGATCATTGGAGTATATTTTTGTATCGCTAGTAATTTGTTATAAATTGTAAATAGCTTCTTAAACAGCTTCTTAAAAAGCTGCTTGTAAATAGCTTCTTAAAAAAATTGAAATTGAAAGAAAAGAATTTAGTTTTTGATTTTTTTTGTTTTTGTCATTTTTTAAAAAAAATTGTTGTCCGGTATGCATATATTACTATGACTGTCGAGTATGCCTAAATTCCAGTTTAATGTCTGATATTTTCATCACACCACGCAAAAAAGCTACACTAATTAAAAAAACATTCTCTGCTTCTTGTACAGTAATCGGCTCTCCTTGGTATGCATTCGTTGTTGGTTTCCATAAACACGTTGTATGCACGGTATTTTTTCTATGTGTCAAACCGATAAATGAATTCCCAAAAAATGAAAACTGTTTTGTCGGTTTTAAGTTGGATATCTCAGTTTGAATGACCCGATTTTCTGTTTGATTTTCTAATTTGACACCTCCATACGTGCGTGCCTACAGTAGGTTCTATATTCTCTGATTAAGGTGGGCTAGTGTGAAGCGGACCTTCCACAGTTTTTATGTGGTCGTCTTTAAATTGAAAAGCTGTTTCTAAAAATCTGTCGCGCTCTCGAGAAATACTGGTTCAGAAAATCTCGATATTTTTTCTTATGATTTTTCGTCTTCAAGATTGTCGACTTAACCTCCATCGGTTTCGATTCCGAATTAAGAATACCACCTTGCTTACTTTTCTTACATAGCAATCGTGGATCGTATGTGGGCCGTATATGCAATTTTGTCAAAAGTTTTTGATGGTTTTTCGGCTTATTGGCTTTCGGCTTTATTTCTGTCCGCCTATGTACCAGATACTGTTTCCTAAAATTTCCGGCTTCAGTTTTGACATCGATGAAACTCCAACACCAAATTTTTGAATACTCGAAACCAAACCCACCAGGATCTATGTGTAAAACTTAAGTAAATTTAAAACATGAAAAAACATTATGATTCTTTTTCGTTTCCATTTCCTTCTTCAATAGGTACATTACTCGAACTCCTCTTTGCTGCTTCTTGAATATCACGTTGATTTTTTATACTTGTTGTATCGGAGTATCGTAAATGGTTCTTTCGCCTGTGCTGAGTGTCTCAAATTAATTTTATATATTAAATGTAACTCCGAATGCGCTATGGACGCAATGTTTATTTGAACGCAATGTTTTAGCTGTGTCGAATGCAACCTTTAAAAAATTCTTAAGGCTCAACCTTTAAGAGAAGGCCAAAATTGTTCTAGAACTTTCAAATTTTCTTAAGTCTGGCATATTCTAGAATCGTTTTTGACAAAATTTCAATTCTGTAGACAAGATGAACTCAATTCATTTTCAAGGCTAGACAGTGCTTGTCCATTTTTTCCGAAATTTGCGTTCTTAGATTGATTGGCTCTGATACGAGCCAACTAAAAACAGCTACCTCCTTGCTAGAAAAACCAGCTGTTTGCAAACCGATTTGCACTATGAATTTTTTTAAAAAAATTTCAAAGTTTCATCGCTTGCATAGCTTTCGTACAAAAACAAACTTTTCGCTAATCGATTTGCTCTGTGAAAACTTGAGATAATTCAAAATTTCATTGCCTCAATAGCTTGCTCAGAAAAACTTTTTCGCAAACCGATTTCTCCTTTGAATTAAATTGAAAAATTCAGAAGTTTCATCGCATCAATCGTGTGCTCAGAAAAACGTTGAAATATTTCAAGTTATCTCATAGATCGAATCGTTTTGCAAATAACGTAACTTTTTAAAGCAAAGCTTTTGCAAACATTTTGTGAGCAAGCTTTTTGCAAAATAACTTTAAATATTAGAAGTTTTCAGAGCTTAAATAGCTCGCTTAGATAAATGATTCGGTCAATGAAACAACCTGAAATATTTCCTAATTTCATAGCTTTAAAAGCTTGCTTACAAAAATTTCAACTTTTCTATAACCGATTCAGTCTATAAAATAACTTGAAATTGTTGAAAGTTTCATAGCTCTCTAAGGTTGCTAAGAAAAACTTTTCGTAAACCCATTTGCACAACAAAACAGCTTGAAATACTTCAAAGTTTTATAGCTTGATTAGCTTGCGTCGAAAAGTTTAAAGCTTTTCCCAAACTGATTCGGTTTATGAAATAACTTGAAATAAATCAAAGTTTCATAGCTTTAAAAGCTTGATTAGAAAAACTTCAACTTTCAGCCTTTGAACCCATCAGTCTATGAATTAATTTGAAATAGCTCGAAAATTCATAGCTTCACAAGCTTGCTTAGAAAATTTTTTAAACTTTTCGCAAACTGATTCGGGATACAAAGTAACTTGAATTATTTTGAACTTTTTACCTGAAGAAGCTTGCAAAGAAATTTTTTTATGCTAACTGATTCGATCAACCAAGTTTTTAGAAATTTATAAGTTACATAGCTTGAATTATGGCTAAATGCGTGATGTTACGATGTGAAGTATGAAGAACAAGTCAGTTTTTTCACCATACCAAATTTCATTGCTTTATGGCAACGTTTAATAAGCTTTTCAAAATTGAATTTGAAAGGGGGGAACTGGAAAAGAGCCGCTAATTAAACCATAGGCAGACTGTCAGGGTTGAAATGAATAGTTTGAAAAATAAATTACCTTTCGTTGATGGAAATGTCGCTATCACATGTAGATGTCGATTTCGAAAACGATGTGAATTACGAATAACAGTATTGAATCGAAAGTGAATTTTCTCGTTAGATTTTCCATTGAAATATTGAAAGTACCTGTTGATTCAGTTTTTACACTTGCGAAGCAAATTGTATTACTACGAACTTTTTTCCAACCTAAGTCGCAAATATTGGTGCCACTTTTTGGGCACCTTAACAACTTTTGATAACATGTGCTTTGACACTCGGTTTGTAATAAGTTAACACAGTTGATGCATTTCCCCTCGGCCTTGTCTTGGAGGCTCTCGAAGATAGTTCCGAAAGGGTACCCCTTAAAACTACTCTCATTTTCCCCCAAGTTGATATGCATGGTTTTGAGCTTCTGCTGGTAGAGTTAACCATTTGCACTTAATTATAAAAACTAAATGATGTGTTGATAGTGTTTAGTTTTCTGCTTTAAATGAATTTAATTAGCTTTGTTGGTACAAGCCGTGAGCTGTATTTTTTTGGTAAAAATTTTGCAAGGCGAAAATCGCCTATCGCATAAGCTGACACTCATTCGTTCTTAGGTGCAAATCTTATTAAATGAAAGTCTCAATGCACTATGGACGCAGCGTTTCAACTTTTCTTACCGAGCACAGCATTTGAAAAGACTGAGATCAGAACTTAATTAAGAATCATTCAGAGCAGCTATCGAGCTCAATGCTTAAGTAAAAGTTTTCAATCATTCTAAGTACTGGAATGTTCTAGAATTCTTTCTAAAAAAGTTCAAAACTCTTTAAACGAAATGAACTCGATATAACTTCAAGGCTAGGCAGTACCTGCCCACTTTTTTCTCCAAATTGTTGCGTTAAATGATTCATTTCAATCTAGAGCTAATTAATTAAAAAGAGCAACCTCCATGCATACAAAAACCAACTTTTAGCAAACTGGTATCCGCTATGAAATAATTTGAAGTATTTCAAAGGTTCATTGATTGAAAAGCTTGATAGGAAAACTTCAACTTTTTGCTAAACGATTCAGTCTAAGAAACAACATGAAATATTCAAGCCATCATCGTTCGAATGGCTTCAATATTAGAAATGCTTTTTTTCGCCTTCAGATTTGCTTCATTAAATAACTTCATTTGTTACAAAGTTACATAACTAGAATAGTTTGCTCAAAAAAACGTGAACTCATAAAACGATTTGGTCCAGGAAACAAATTGAATTAACTTCAAAATTCATCGCGTGATCCTTTCAATAGAAAAACTAAAACTTCTTGTTAATCGATTGGCTTCATAAAATTACTTGGAATATTGAAGCTTAATTGCTTGAACAGCTTGCTTAGAAAAACTTCAGTTTTTCGCATTCCGATTCGCTGCACGAAATTAACTTGAAGGCCTTAAAGTTTCGTAGCTTGAGTAGCTTGCTCCTAATAAGTTCATTTTTTCGTGAACTGATTTGTTCTATGAAACGTGGAAGTTTTCAAACCGATTTACGATCTGGCTCAGCTTCAGATTTCGAAGTTTATGGCTTGATAAAAACAGCATCTATTTTTTGCGAGCTGATTCATTACTATAGAAGTGCTTGCTAGTTTTTATGATTCGATAGTGAGTTGGAAACGCCGTTATGTTATTCATAAGAAACTTGATCGTTTTTGAAAAGTTCTCATCGAATATATTTTTAAGGGAAGTGGTGCGAAGTGCTTGGAGTAACGTGAAATAAGCTCAACTCATTTGCTTTTTTTTAGTCTGAAATGGCAGCCGAAGTTTTGAACCAGCTTAAGCCGCAATATCCTTCATTGGAGGCTCAAATCAATGAAATGATTGACCTTTATAACAAGAAGCTCTGGCACCCTCTCACCAAGGAGCTCGAAAATTTTGTTCATAAGCCAGAATTCAACGAGGGAACGAGTTTGTTGACCTTAAAAGATAGCTTACTGCGCGATATCCATACCAGAATTAACCCATTTTCATTGGTTAATATAAGTCTACGAGTGCTCAAGCAAGAATCAGATTTGAGCCAAATTCTAGCATATGTTGAGCAAATGAAAACCCTGCCAAATGTGAAACACGCAGAATCGGCTTTGCTTCTTTGCGACGTAGCAATTGCGGATCTAAAATTGACTTTGGATCAGCAGCAAGAAGCGAAGAAAATGATCGAGGAACTTCAAGATAAATTTGACGCTTTAGATGGAGTAGGACCTGTGCACAAAAAGTTCTACGAGCTGAGCAGTCGATACTACCAAATGCAGGCTAACCATGCATTGTACTATCGCGAGGCGCTGAGGTATCTCGGATGTATTGATGTGAATAAAGACTTGACTGAGAGTGAGCGTCACACAAAAGCAGTCTGTTTAGGGCTAGCTGCAATCTTAGGCGAAGGTGTTTACAATTTTGGCGAACTACTGGCCCACGAAATTCTCAATGCGCTTTCGGGAACTGAACAAGAGTGGGTGAATGAGCTCCTTTTTGCCTTTAATTCTGGCGATATTGCTAAGTATGAGAGTCTGAAAAGCTACTGGTCGACCATACCAGATTTGGTTGCTGCTGAAATGGCGTTGAGACAGAAAGTCTCACTTCTGTGCTTGATGGAAATGGCGTTTAAGATGCCAGCAAATAACCGCAATCTCAAATTCGAAGAAATCGCGAGTGCTATTAAGATCAAGTTCGATGACGTTGAGCTTCTTGTTATGAAGGCACTTTCGTTGGGGTTAATCAGAGGTTGTATCGACCAGGTGGATGAGATTGTTCACGTGACCTGGGTTAGTCCGAGAGTTTTGAGTCGTGACCAACTAGCGACTATGAGTAAAAAATTGGTGGATTGGCAGGGAGATATCAACAGAGTGGAACATCTTGTTCAAGACGGCGCCAAGACTATCATTGGCTATTAAAGTTGTAAAATATATGTTTGGATGGCAGAATGTTGTGAGATTACTTTGACTAGATTTTTGTGTTCAGTTAATGCTGATAAATTTATTCTGATCGGATAAGCTTCTTTTTAAATTATAAATGAAACAAGTTTTCTGGACTGCTTAATTTTGTAGACCCCCCAATACAAGTCGACTTCCTCATAGACCCCACCCACACGAGATTTTTTTACCTCCAAGTTTGGGTGGGCTCTGAATGGACTTCACCGGAATTTTTATATCATTATCCTTGCGATAAGCAACCGTATTGCAATCGGGGTACTAGACTTTTTACCCGTAAATAACTTTGTTCACAAGACTCATCTCGAGGGGACTTCGGGACTCCAGTGGTACCTTGTTTCATAATTATTCAAACTTGTAGCGTTATCGCACTTACTCTGGAGATAACGAATCCGCCTGGGATGTCAAAGGTTCTGGGTTCGAGTCTGACCAGGACCTGTTTTTTGTTCAAGTGGGAAATATTCTGTTTCAAATAAAATTGTCGTCAAATAATTTGTCTGTTGACCTTTTGTCGGCTTGGATGACAAATCTTGGAATCGTCTTTTTTTGCTGTGCGCATTTTAAAGGTTGCTCTTAGTTTTTGATTTTCTCCTGCAATTTGTATCTTTACTTACCTTGACTTCCCTTTTTTGTTTCGCTCAAACATTTTCTTCGGCCTAAATTTTTTCGGATGATTTTTTTATTGGCTTAGTGACCTATTTTTGGGTCGTTTCAAAAGAAACACAACTCTTACTATCCCCTCCGCACTTTTTAAATTTGTTTCATCTTAACCACTCGGTTTGTTGAAATTATTTTTTTTTGTTTTTCGGCTTAATAGGTTTCGACTTGTTATATATCGGTTTAGGGGCCTCTTTTTGAGTCGTTTGATAAATATAAAGGTTTTTATCAAAACATTTTGGTGGAGGGCTTGAAAATATTTGAGTGTTGAATTTTTCCAATAAAAACAATTGTTTTTCGGCACAAAGTGTGTCTGCTCATTAATTGTCGGCTTAGTAAGTTATTTCGATGCTGATTCCACATTTTTGTGTTTTACTTTTTGGCATATTTTCTTTCAAAGGAATTTTTATTCATGACAAACTTAGACAAATGTAGGAAAGTTTTTGGTTAATCAATTTTTTCGATATTTGATTGTACAGTTTTTATCTCCGTTTCTGTCGGGCTGTCTATGTGTTGTTTTGCAAGTCAAGCGGAGCTTGGCTTCGCTTGTATTTGTAAAGGTGCAGGTTGTTCACTTCCAAGATTTCGGAATTTTTTTTGCAATGCTTAGTTTTTTTGAGTTTGAATTTTTTATTTTTTGGTTTGTCGCTTCATTTGCAAGTAATGCTAGTTATTCATTTTTGTATCACAAGTGGTGCAAAGCTCTGCTTCGGCTCTGTAAAATTTTCACCCAAAATTTTTAGTAATTGTAAAATATTCCAATTGTCGCCTGAATTACGTAACGAAATTATTTTAAAGCCAATTTCTCAGTTCAAGATCATTTTTGGCTCTAATTTGCGATTATGTTGATCAGAATCGATTCAAGGATTTCAGAATTGATTCAAGGATTTCAGAATTGATTCAAGTTTGCGGACTCCTGTGATAATTGACCCCCCCCCCCCCCCCCGCAATTATCAAGCCACTTTTGTTCAAAAAGTGTCCTACATCCCCTGTAATTAATTTTCTCGGCCCTCCGCTATTTAGGTTTTGTTGAGTACCTTCGGTTAAATAAGAAGCACGTTGAAAATCTGCTATAAGTGAATTATGAAAACCAATAAAAGACCATCGTCATGAAAGAGAATAAAAACACTAATTTTTTCTCTACAGAAATGAGCCCTGGATGATTAGGGCTTGTTCAAGTCACAAGATACAGTTTTTTCCTGTTGATATTGGAACTTGAAATCTTATTTTTTTTTGCATAAGCAAACATTATAAGGCCCTCAAACCATGTGATAGAGATGCAGTGTGGCTGTTTTTGCAATAATTGAAGGTCAATTACCCTTAGTCAAACGAACTGTAATTTCGCTATCGAGAGCAAGTGTCGTGTAATTAGGAACAAGACTTCTTATTCGTCGTTTGAAGAGCAAAAATAGATTGTAATGCTTTTATTTGTTTCACCAGGCGTTAGGGCAGGGGTGGATCTAGCATTTTCTCCATGGGGGCGGATTTTCAAAAAGTTTTCGGAATTTTATCGGCCTTTTTTCACTTTGAACAAGTTGAGTTTCCGAGCTGTTACAATTTACTATAAAGACCCTATTTTGACCAAATTTTTTGCACCGCAGGCTAAATTTTGACAAAAATAGGCCAAAAAAGGCTTTTTAGGAACTTTTTGGAAAATTTTGACCTTGAAATCGCGTTTTTTCGGCGCGGGCTTCCCCGTCAAATTTAGTATATATTGGCGCCGACGGCGAATTAAGAAAAAATTTAGGGTCCGCCAGCCAAAAATGGATGTCTTTACCTAAGCAAAGGTAATACAATCGGGTACTAGGATTTTCTGTAAATAACTTTAGGCACTTTTTGTCCTCGTTACAAATCAAATCCTCTTCCTTTCTGTTGAAAGTAATAATTATATTTTGCAACTCGATTTGTTAAAAAAGTTTAGTATTTTTTGTCCTTTTTTCGGCTTTATTTTTTTTCTACGTTGTATGGGCTTTTGGCCTCTTATTGGGCAGTTTGACTAGAAAAATGTTTTTTTTATGCTTGTGTGTGTTTTGAGTGAATGGTAAATTTAAATTTTTTCATTTGTTTCAAACTTTTTTTGAAATTTTTTTTTCGGATTTTTGTTTGTCCTTTTTTCGGCTTGATAGGTTTTGGACCTATTTGACATCACTTTAGTTGCCTCATTTTGAGCCTTTTGCTTTGCAAAAAGTTTTTTGTGTTCCTGTGTGTGTTGTGAGTAAGAGGGGAACTCAAAATTGTTTATTAGTTTCAAAATTCTTTGAAACTTTTTTTGGACTTTGTTTTTGTTGTTTTTTTTTCGGTTTAATATGTTTCGCCCTGTTTATTATCGCCATAGTGGCCTCATAATGCGCTGTTTGAGAAGCGAAAAGTTTTCTGTTGGCGTGTGTGTTTGTTTTGAGGGTGAGTTGAACTTAAATTTTTTTGTTACTTAAAGTGTTCTAAACTTTTTTCGGATTTCATTTTTTTTTCTTCGGCTTACTGGGTTTTGGCCTATTTTTATCGCCTTCTCGGCCTCTTTCTGCGCGGCTTGATGAGCCAAAAGTTTTCTGTGTGCGCGTGTGTGTTCTGAGGGAAAGGGGGAATTAAGGATTTTTTATTAGTTTCAAATTTTTTTTTAATTTGAAGGGTTTCTGCTCAGATATTTTCGGCATTGTTTCTGCTTGGTAAGTTTTCTTCTGTTGCTATTCTGCATAATTTTTCCGGCCGTTTTTTTCAAACCTATCTCTATACATTTTGTTAGATCTAGTTGCATGTATAATTGTAGAGTTTCGATGTTCTCATTTTTTGGCTGATGGTTTTTCGGCTTTATTGGTGTCGACTAAGTCTCGGTTTAGTTTCCGAAATGTATATATCACCTTGACTTCAGTACATATATGACTCTATATGTACTTTATGGACAGTACATAGTTTTGTTATCATTTTTGCTTTGCTCAAATATTTCGGTTGAATTTCAGCTTTCCGTCGGCTTATTTACCATTTATCTTGTTTCTACAAATTTCCGATAATATTTATGAAATAGAAAAGACACTGGCACGAAGTTTTCCAATCCGTAAATTCAAAACCATTGGGACCTCTTAAAAATACTTCGTTCCTCTAGATTTTATAGGGCCTCGAGGCAACGCGGTTGCGTTTAAACCCGAAGGTCTGGGGTTTGAGTCCCCACCAGACTTAATTTTCAGTATGTGTTCAGTAAGTTTTTTTCCGGTTGTCGGTTATTCGTTGGTCTGCTTATGTTTTGTCTGCTTATTTGGCAAATTGGGGAATTTTCTTTTGCTATCAATTATTTTCATCGTGTATGCAAGTGCTCTTTATTTACTCCTTTAATTTGTAAAATAAATTGCCTTGACGTATATTTCACATGATTTTCCTTTTTGTTTTGTTTGTTTGCTGAAAAGCTTCACTCGCCCTAAATTTTTTCAATTTAAGTTTTATTAGCTTAGTTACATTTATTTGTCGCGTCGAGCTCAAAAAATGATTGATTGTTTTGAAAAAATTGTTAATTTGTGCTGCAAATTTTCAAAGATTATTGCTCAACATTAATCTTAAGTGCTCAAAAAAAATTTTTTGACATCAATTTTTATGGCATTTTTCAAAGTTTTGGCTGAATGGGCTTCTACCCAATTGAGCGGCTTAGTTGGAGCGGTTTTTAGTAGCTTGCATGCTGCGCTTGCGCTGTATCGCAAATGATACGAAGCTTCGCTTCGCTTCTGTTATTTTTCTAATAAGTGGTATTCGTCTCATTTTCTATTCGCCAACTTGCAATGCTATGCTTCCTGTGTATCGCGTCTGTATTCGCTTCTGTGTTAAAAAGTTGGATTTTGTTAACAATTCCCCCTCATTACCAAGGTGGGGTTTGTTCCAGGTACAAAATTCACAGATGCTCAGTCGTTTAGTCAGCCAAATATTTCGTGTTAATGTTAATTGAGTATTGATCAGTCTGAAGTAGCGCTTTGTACTTCTGAATCAATCTTCTATTTTAAATGAATGACAGAAAAAATAATGTCACGTTTTTGTTGCCATAAGGCGCATTGGTGTAGAGCTATCATTGAGCTCATTGTTTATGAAAATTATCTGAATTTAGATTGTTCTAGAAATTTTCAGTCAAACTCAGACGCTTCGGATTTTTCAAACATTCTTGAGCTGGAATGTTCTAAAATGCTTTTTGAAAAAAGTCCAAAACTTCTTAAACAAGATTAGTCGATTGAGCTCCAGGACTAGACGGTACCTGTCCCAAATTTTGCCTTTCCAGAATCATATCAGTTTGAAATGAATCAAATGAAAACAGGAACCGTCATGCTTAAAAAAACCAACCTTTGGCAAACCGATTCGCGCTATGAAGTAACTTGAAAGATTTCAAACTTTCATAGCTTGAATAACTTGCTTAGAAACACTTGAACTTTTTGCAA